TACCAAATACCATTCGAAATACCAAACGTTCCTTTTTTTCCTTTTTTTTTTTCCTAAATATTAATCAGATTGAAGAAGAATTGATCAAAAATATCAACCATCCATAATATTGAAATAGAAGAGAAGAAGTAAATTGTTGTATAGTGAGAAATTAATATTTCAGGTGGATCAAATAGGAATGAAAAAAATTCATTCACATCTGATGTAATGCCGACAATAGATCCGTTAAATACGACAAACTTATCCGGTATCGGTTCCAAGGAACTAATCGATCTTGAAGTTATCGTACTAAACTGGGCCAAACAAATTTTTGATGTTACAAAAACTAAAGCAGAAGCTAAAATCAACAAAAAATTCCTTCAGGTATTTCATTATATTCTGTTATTTTACTCCTAGCATTTAATATACTTCTAAAAATGTATTGAATCCTTTAGTGTACATTTTTGAGCATTTTCATATTTTAAGAGGAAACAAATTTTAATGTTATTTTGAATAATTTATGATTTAATATTTTTTGTTTGAAATAAATAAAATTTTGGCCGAAAAATTATTTGGAATTTTAAAGTTAAAAGGAAATTAAAGTTGAAATTACCTTCCACAGAGTTAATTGTAATTATTTTGTCAGAAACAGTCAAATCATTAATCAAAATAAGTTTATTTTATGATTCAAATGTAACTAATGTCCATTTCATGTACACTTTTCCTCATTTTTATTAAAAAATCCATCAATTTAATTCCCATATTATAAATAAAAAAAGATTTCTTAAACACGCTTCTTAACTTCCTTCCATTCAATCTTTCTATAGCTTTCTTTAATAATTCAAATAAACAGTTACCGTTTCCGCAACATTCATTAATGAGTATTGTCATTTAAATGAGGTCAAATTTCGGTGTACTTGAAAATAGTGAAATTTCATTGGCTTCAAATATTATTAGCAGAAAGGATAAAATATCATTTATGTTTTAATTCGGTATTTTTAATAAATATTTCTCTTTATTTTAATTTACAAAATTTTTGTAAATTTTTGTTTGGAAAATTTTTCACAAAATTATTGAAATTAGTAATTTCTTGTAGTGGTTATTGATATAATTTGGATAAAATAAGGTAGGGAGGAGAGAAATATGTATATATAATTTTTTAATTTTACAGAATTTTTGTTATAAATTTTTAGGTTTATCCTATATATATATATATATGAATATCTTTTGGTCAATATATCAACATCATCCTTTCAAGCTTCGATTGGATATACAAACATTAGTCATCTCGACTTGTCACATTCGGAAAGGGACAATATGGGAAGAAGAGCTAAGGGCGATTATTCACGAAATAAGCAAATAATATGTAACAATATGCATATATCCGTGTATCAATACATTCATTAATCAGCTAAATGAATGATTTAATTGATAACATGCATATTTCCCAATCCTATCTGTGTCCTAGGCTTTTGACTATTTTATCTTTTTTCTTTTACAATTTTTTCCTTGTAATCTTTAATAGGGGAAATAAGTTGGGATAACCCAGTTAAAGAATGCGAGAAATAAGATGTAGTGTTGTTATTCGTGATGCATGCAAAGCTGTCACCAGATAATGACAACTACACATTTATTGCTATAAATTTCATGGGTGGCTCAATTCGTGCGTTAAATTGCCATCTTTATTAACGATACAAGGAAACATTCTTCTTTCCCATAATATGTCACCAGCTAGCTACAACGACAATTAAGTATTAGGGATTGACAGAAAGTGAAAGGGAGATCGGTTAATTATAATCTCAACCGAGATTTTCTAACTGGCTATATAGCTGTGCATATATATAAATATATAAATATATAAATATAAATATAAATATATATATATATATATATGCTTCAATCGAATTTCAACGATTAGCTGTTGTAATTGAAGTAAGAAAGGATTGGGGAAATTTTATTGGAGAAAAATGTTGTAGAAATCAGAGAGAAAAATGTTGTAGAAAACAAGAAAAAAACGAAATTTATTTTAATTTATATGGGGAATGATTCGTTTCTTGGATGTAATGGAATGAGATTTTTAAAAGTTTTAATATTTGAGAAGTTCATGCTAATAAGTTTGTAATTTGGATAATTTCGAAGGAAGTTGCTCTCTTGCGAAAAAATTGGAAGAAAATACTGGCTGAATAACAATTTCATCCATCCTTGACATTATTATTCTTATTACTCATTCAATGATGATCCGATCGTGTATCAAATTATAATTCACTTTTTGCTTTTCTTTTTTTTTTTTTTGAATATTCGAGAATATATAGTTATCAATACTTTCCTCTATATATCAATTAAACCTAGAAAATTGCATAAATGATAGTTTGCTATAGGAAAACTTGAAATTAAACATAAATTTACGAAATCCATGCGTACAGTCCAAAGCAAAAAATGTAAGTGAAGCAGTTAGAAGTTGAAATATGCTAAAAAAAATTTCGGAAAAAAAGCAGAAACTTTATCAAGATGATATAAAAGGTATAAATTAATATTAAAAAAAAGGGAAATTTTAAAAAAGTGTAAATTGAAAAAAGAATTATACAAAAAAAAGGAAGCAAAACTATGTTATTTAATT